GCTCTCCCCTCCCTAATCTCCCCTACTCCAGGCACCCCTGTTTCCCTTCTCTAGGGGCTGCTCCTGCTTGGCCCCATCTCTACTTGGATAATTCCCCTGTGGCCCCTCTATTGAACTGTTGTGCTGTCCATTTCCCTGTGACAAGGGCTCTGGTTACAGAGTTATTGATTGGTTTTCATGCAGACAGATGGGCCCTTCCCGGGCTCCCATCGAAATCCCTGGCTGTATGGGCTGATTGTTGCCTCTCTGGGGTGTAGGATTGCACTGGAGACCACCCTCCATGCAGCCTCCTTTGCCCAGGCCATGAACGGTAATAAATGGAGGCAGCCTAAGCGATAATAAAAGCAATTGAGTAGGTTACCTGTGCAGACTCAAGATTTATGCCTCTTCATATTTGATGTGATTGTTTTATTGAGTTCTCAGAACAGTTGGGACGCTATTTATTTATTTATTTTGGGTTTTCCCTCTCTTTTCTTCTTTGTATCACCTTCTGAAATGCACCTGGAGCTGTTGTTAGCCCCAGCACCTCCTGTCTGCCTCTTCTTGAGAGTCACCAGCTGAGGTGGGAAGGCAGGGAGACCAGCCATTGCTCTCACCCGAAACCCTTTTTGTGGCCCCAACACTCACAGAACCAGCAAACAGGGAGACAGTCAGACCAACAAGACTGAGGGCCAGGAAGCCCAGGCTAAAACAACTACAAAACAAAAATGGGCTTTTCAGGAGGACGATTCCAGTTCATTTTAAGGAATGAGAATTTCAACCATCACCCCTATTTCAAACGTTATTCTAATGATGGGCAACCTCATCGTAGGAGACTGTCTCTGGGAAAGGACAGGTGAGCAAGGCTTCTCCGACAGAAACTGGTGCATTGGTCTGCTATTTATGGGCCCAATCTGATAGGCTCAGGGCCTCAGAAGGCAAGTTCTCTGTCCTTGTTTCTCCTACTCCTCTGTGCATAGAAGTCTTTTTCTTAACTCTCCAACTTGTCCTGGCTCTTTGCCATGAGACCAACAGCCCTGACCACCAAACGGCTGCAAAGGTATGGTGACGTGGTAGGCAGTACCACCCCTCTGGCCCAGCTTCATGCCCAGCCAGGTCCACGAGTCAAACAGGCAACATTCTGGAACCTGTTTCAGAGAGGGAGAAACAGACCCTAGCCCTGAACATATCTTCAACATTCCCTGGGCCAGGATGAGTGGCGCCCAGCTTATTTGGAAAGGCCTTTGAAGGAACAGCTGGTAGACCATTGTCACCCCACTGCCTGACCCAAGGGGAACAAAGACCTAAGAATGACTCAAAGACCTGAGAATGATAGAAAAAGTGACACCCAAATGACACAGGATGGAATTCCTTAACACAGCCCTGGGTTGCCACTGCTGAGAGAATGAACATGCTCACCTAGAGCCAAACACGCTAGGAGGGAGTATGGGTAATGGGAGATCGTCAGAAGTTGATTCTGGCAGGGTTCGCTCCAAAGATCTAGGGGCAGAGAGTGCCCGGACTCCAAAGAGTGTAAGGTAAGCTAAAAAAGTTAGGCGACACCCTCATTGCCAGTTCTTCCCAGAAGAGCACCTTCAGCGGATCATCAGTAACCCTAGACTCTATTTGGGGTTTATGCCTGTTCTTTCAAAGGAGCTGTATTCCCTGCCCAGAGTAACAGCCAGACCAGAAGACTGGCATATAATCAGGAAAATCTCCCCTGCTTAGACAATTGCTCAGCGATGTAACTAGGTGACTTTTTCCTTTTTCAGTAGAATGGGTCTCTCTCCACCTCTCCCCTCTCCAGGCCATTTCCCACACCAGGATTCGATCTAAAATCCCCTCTTTATAAACACCTGCCCTCTAAGCAGCAGTGTGCAAACCAAAGAGCTGGCAACTCCATGCTCAGCCATCGGTAACCCAGTATTTAGAAAGATTCAGATAAATTCCACATGCTAAGCAGCCCAGTTGAGCCTCGGGATTTTTGACAGTGGTCTGTGGGAGTGGGGAGGCCTTCCTGACCCAGTCCTCTGGTTCAGAGAGGCATTTCGAGAATTTGCTAGTGGGGAATACAGGCTGGATGGCCACGCCTTTATCGCAACAGGATCAGAGAATGCCAAAACCATTTTTAAAGAATGAAAAAGCAATTTAGTTTATAACCATAACAGCATATTTCAAGTGCGGCGACAGCATCTGTTTTGGGGAGGAGAAGACGAAAAACCTTTGGCTCAGGTGGGTGAGCATGTGTGGACTTCTTTTCTTGCCAACCACCAGCTCATGCACAACCTTACTCATAACTGTTATGAAACACCCAACACAAGTGGGCAGGTCACCACCAATGAAACTCTAACCTCAAGAGCCACCCATTCCCTGATGCACCGCACTTTCTGCACACAGGAAAATCTCCAGGCTCTTCCTACAGTGAGTGAGAATTCCCAAAACTGAGAAAAGGCAAAGTTCCTGATATAACCAGCACTAGCAGAAATATCCTGTTTTTATCAGGCTTTTGGGTGAAACAACAGACCTCAGATAAACCTTACCTCTTCAGAGCAAACCACCCACCCCAGGTAGATTTCTCCAGCCCTAACTCAGCAGCACACTGGGAAGCCCCCAAAATTCTTTCCAAAATATGAAGCATAAGAGGATTCTGGCCAAAAGTGAAATTGAGACTACTTTGCCTGCTCCTTGTAGACGAAGCCAGCCATGAAGCCTAACTGTGGACCCAACGTAGGCTGCCTGTGTGGTTGCTGGCTTCCCCGTTCTTCTCCTCCTACTCCCTCTCCATCTCCAGCAACACCTGCCCCCAGATAGCTATTTCTCCACACCCAAAGGAAGCCTGTGTGCCCCTCAGGTGACAGGGCTCTGTGCTGGGCGGGTTCTGCAGCTATCACAGCTGACAAGCTGAGGCTACTCTTTCCCCACCCTCATCTCACTTGGGGTTCTCTTGTGGTCTACTCGGTCCTAACTGCTGGGTGTACCTCAAGACCTCTGGAGCTTGATCCTGGGGTCACCTGGCCCTTTCTCTCCATGGCTTTTCAGGATAGAAGCATTTCCAAACTTGAGCATAAGCCAGCTTCCCAAATCATCTCAGCCAATGAAGGGTATGTGTTGTCAGGAGAAGGGACAGGGGGTGTTGACAGGGCTGCCACACCTGACTTGTCGCACCACTCCTCTACTTCATTCAAGAGAAACAGATTTCCTAAACCCTACATGACTTGGGTTTCTCCAAAGGCTTGCAAATTCTATTACTGACAACAAGCATTTCTCATAAATGTTCTGCAGAAGACCACCACCCAGCCCCAGCGACGCTGCGCCCAGCAGGGCCACTCTTGGCCCTTGTCTGTTCTTCTCTTGAGATCTCAGTTCCAACTTACTCCCAGAACCAGCAGTCAGGTAAGAGACTGAGTCTCTACATGGCTCATAAAACAATGTTTTGTCCCCTTCCCCTCCCGAAGTGCCACTCTTGCCTCAGCCCAAAGCTGCCCCAGTGTCCTCCCCGGGCTTTTAAAGCAAAGGACTTATTTCTCTCCTAAACCACCCAGCATCTCTCTCCAGCTCCTTTGGAAGGTATCTGAATGTCAAATCACTATGCTTTCAATACCTGGCTGAGCTAGGCCCAGGGAGCTAGAGGGTTTTCGGAGGGTGTATAATTAGCTGATCAGTATTATGTTACCCTGTTCATAACTGAATAACCATTTTAATACAGATGGCACACACTGGGATAATTTCTGGGGTCGCCTCGCAATACATTACAGCACGAGTGTGGCACAGGGAATCTTCTTTAGCCAAGGTACATTCTACCAGCTAATTTTACCTGCTGTTTTCAGGATGATTTGGGATAATTCCATATCATTTGCAAAATATTTTAAAAATCCTTGATACGTGTTGCCAGTTTCAGAATAAGGCACCATCTGAATTATTAGTTGTTCTGATAATGAGCTTATGAAGAATGCAGAGAATAACAAAGGTATGAAATGCTTAGCTCTCTTTTCATTTTGGGGTATCTTAAATTGGGGGGCCAAGGCTGTGTGGGACTTGCTTCTGACTGGAGTGTGACTTGTGCAGGAACTCTGTGAATAACTGTCAGTTTGAACAGTTCTGTGATCTTGAAGCCAGCCTGGGTTCCTGAGCCCACTGCTGCTTGTGTTGTTCTATAGCCACCACAGACAGGCATATTGGCACACTGGCTAGGGTGGATGTGTGTGCAGTGTGCATATGTGTTCTCCCAGAGAGCACGCTGGAGTGGTTTGGAGACCAAGAGATCTAAATGTCCTGTATGTCTGGCTGACTCAGCCCTGTGTTGTCGCCACATGCGTGTGCCTGTCATCAGTGCAAAGACTTCAGCCTAGAGACAGGCACCGTAGGTGACTGAGGGTATCACCTGAGTTTCTGTCTCAAAGTCTGGAGTTTTCCCTCCCTGCTTGGCACTCCCTCCTTGTCCAGCTCCTCTACTCCCTGCCAGTTGCTGGCTGGTGGTTGTCATTTGTTCTGCAAGCCCAGATTTCAGTGCTTACAGGCCGGAAATTTGTGTGGAGCTGGCTAGCAAGACCAGGCTCCTGGGAGGTGAGTTTTGTGGGGGGCTGGCAGGGAGGGTGGGGGAGCCAGGACAGGCGGCTGCCCTTGGGGAAGGAGCAGCCTTTAGAAAGGGAAGTCTGTTTGGAGGGGATGAATAGATACTGGTCATTTTAAAGGCTCCGGCTGCAGGCTGTGATTGTCTCTAGATCCCAAGGCTGGATGCTCGTAATCTTGGAGTCTTAATTACCACAAACACTTGGATACATTTCCAGGACGCCGGCGGGAGAAGCCTGGCAGGGAATACCCAGCCCTGAACTGGAGACAGCCCTGTCTGTCTGTCTATCTCTCTGCCTCACAGGTCCTCTTTCCCTGATAGATGGATTTAGGCTGGGAGCAGGGAGAAAGGGCAGAGGCTGGACAAAGAGCAGAGACTGGGTATGGAACACCCCTCCAGGCAGGAGCCAGGAGCTGGAGTCCAGCCCTGAAGGCCCGAGTGGCTTGCTCACCTGTTGATGGAAGAGACGCTGGGCACTGTGTCATTGTCACAGATGCCCTCAGCCAGGAGCCGGTCTCGGATCTCCCAGGCGAACATAGTCGGGTTCTGTCTCTTGTATTCAGCAATCTTGTCCACCACTTTGGGTGTCGCCACTTTGGGCTTGGAGCCACCGATGACACCCGGCTTGATGCTGCCCGTCTCGTAGTACCTGCACCGGGAAAGCCAGTGGAATCAGCCAGAAGCAGATGGTGGTGGGGCAGGGGGGCTGCAGGTTCCAGGTCTGCTGAGTCACTCTCCCGCCCACCGGCCGAGGCAGCAGTGTGGAGGGAAAAGGCCCAGTGGGGTTGAGCTGACTTCCTGAGGGTGTTTGGCTAGGATGAAGAGTGCCATGGAGGAGGAGAAAAAGGGGTACCATTCCTCCAGGGAGATGGCTACACCAGGGGCTGGGTGCACACCAGCCCGAATAGGCACCCGTCGGAGTGAAAGCTCAGCCTTTCATTTGGGAACAGCGCTGCAATGTCTCAGGGAGGCCAAGGCTGAGGCACCACCCCCAGCCCTTTTCTACTGGGCATAGGGCATCTGTAGGAACCAGGACACTCCTGCCTCCCAAATGCTGCTGCTTCTCCTCTTGGGAACCCATTTTCACCCCACCCCATTTCTCTACTGTCCCCCCCCCCACCCCGTGTCTGCCTTAACTCCATTAGAAAAGTCATTCCTCCCTTTCCGAAGCCAAAAGCGGGATGCCTTCTCACCAGGGACCAGAAGCAGGACAGGCACTGGGTGACACTTCTCCACCCTTGTTCCTGGTTCTTTGGCCACCATTTGAACACTCTTTCCAAAAGAAGCACCTCTCCAGACCCCTTTGGGGACCTCCCTCTCCCACTTGGCACTGGGTTTTTAGCCAAGTCCTGGGGCGGGAGACCCAGGACTGGCCGGGGAAGTAGTCAGGGCGTCTCCCGGGACAGCTGCAAAGCCCTCACCTGCCCAGGATTTTGCTGACACAGCCGTGGCTGACCCGCAGCTGCCGGGAGATGTCACAGGGTCGCACACCCTGGTGGGCCAGCTCCACGATGCGCTGCCTCACCACGTCGGGTAGGGGCCGGCCGTTCACAAACACCCCCCCGAGCTGGTTCACACCCCCGTGCCCTGCTGGGGAGAGACAAGAAAAAAACACAACACCCCACACACAGCAGGGACCAGCCATTAGTCAGGGTCCGAGGCCCGGGACGTGCGAAGGAAGCAAGCAGGGCGGAAGGGCGTGCTCCTGAACTTGAGAAGAAAGGTGGTGGACCCCCCACGACCATGCGGAGGAGTAGGGACTGGAACCCCCGCCCGCTGTAGAGACGCGGAAGCCCGGGCGCCGGGAAGAAGACTGGGGGCTGGGCGAGAGAGGGACTCAGGCCGTGCAACGAAAGGTAGAAACCGAAGGGAGGACTGCAGAGAAACCGGGCGACAGAAAAGAGGGAAGAGGTGGAGAAAAATGGCAAAGGGGAATTTATGCCAGCGGAACGAGTGTTAGAAAGCGAGGAGAGGAAGGGCCCGGCAAAGGATGGGATCTGCGAAGCAGCATCCCGCCTGGGCCACAGGCAACCAGGGAGCTGTCCGCCCGTGCGGGGCTTGCAGATGGACGATATGGGGGCGTCGGGGCTTGGGTGACTGTTCATCTGAGCTCCGATCACAGAGAGGGGATAAGTGCCTGACACACACACACACCCCTTTCCTCTCTGCCTCTTTCCTAAAAAGTATTAAATTGTAATTGGAATTTTTCTACCTGGTATCCTGTCTTGTTTGTTTTGGATGGGGAGTTTTTCTAATGTTATTTATCTGTAGGGGGGCCGTGTCTCCCCCTCACCTCCTTAGTATCTAAAGTGGAGCAAGGAAGGCGGAAGAGGCAGGGGCCCGGGGTCTGCTGCGCTCAGAGACAGGGAGGCAGCCGAGAGCGGCTCCAGGCAGCAGGCGGAGAATGCCGGCTGCTTGGGCTTGCCTGCCTGCCTGCCGCGCCGCGCAGAGCTTAGTTGGGGCCCACTGTCTCGCCCGGGTGTCACGGCACAGGTCGTGCCGGCGGGTTGATAACTCTCGGGACGCCCTGTGTAGCTGGCCCAAGCCCGATTCGCGTCCCTTTGACCCCTCAGACCTCAGCAGGTTCCCAGGAAACTGAGCTGCTCGGGCGTTTGCTCTCCCAGCCAAGAGAAGGGCACTGTGTTTCCAACCCGGCTCCAGCGTGGGCTCCTGATCTTGGAGCCTAGGCGGCCACTGGGTGCCAGGCCTGAGGGTGCTTCCTGGTGCCCCATTCTCCCTGGCCTACAGCAGTCTAGAAATCCTGCACCCAGAGCGATCAACCCGCAGCCGCAGTTACTGAGCAATCCAAGCGTGGAGACTTCTAGCGGCCGAGTCGGGTCGGCCGGGGCCGGCAAACTGCAGCCCCTGCCCCGCTAGCCTCACGCGAGTTTCGGAGAAAGCGGGGACATCTGTGCCCCCCTCATTTCTCTCCCGTCCCTTTGGGGGGGGGTCTAGAGCAAGCTTGGGTGAAACCGCTGGGGAAAGGCCTCTGATCGGGCTGCTGGGAGAGAGGGGAACCTCTTCTTTTACCTCCGTGCCCATCCCTTTAATCTCCCTATCTCTAGCCCCGCTCCTCACCCCTTCCCTCCCTCCAAACCCCAACCATCAATAATTTAGGCCCCGGGAGAACTCGCGTTACCGGTATGAAAAGGCGGCAGCTGCGGGCAGATTAAAGATGAATAATTCAGCCTCCCCGGGCTCCAGGCCCGGTCTCTCTGCCCCAATCTAAGGGGTGGGAATGGGAAGGGGCCAAGATGGGAGTCCAGGGCTGGGGGACTGCCGCGAGCCGGCGCTGAGTCAGGCCTGGAATGCGCCACTGCTGCCGGCACCCACTCGGGCTGCGGTATCTCACCCGCCAGTCGACCGGCCCGCGGGCCCGCGCTGCGGCTGTTTCCCTCCGACCACCTTCCGCTGGGCCGTGCTCCCCTTTGGATTTCAAAGTGGCTCCCAGTAGGCAGCCAGGACTCGGCTGATCCCCAGCGGAATCCGCAAGAAAGGAGAGAGAGAGCTGTGGCAGCCGGGCCGCGAGGCCGGTTGGCTGCGCGAAGACGGCGTGTGGACCCGGTTCCACTCCTCCCGAAAAGAAGCGAGGCTTTTCGGCCGGCTTGCCGAGACCCGCGGCGGCCTGATGCCCTCAGCGTGGCTTTCCTGCGCTTGGAAATTACTTAGGAAAATATATTTTATCCCAGGAGTGTTTTTAACGCCCCGCCTCCCCGTAATGTTAAATATATGTTTAGGAAAAGCACAGCTCTCCCTCCTCGCCTCTCTTGTCCTAAGCACAGGTCCAAGCCAGGTCTAAAGTTTCCTTGTGAAAAGTTACAAATGATCCTTAATTATTAATCTGCAGATAGGGGGGAGTTTTCTATTTAGAATTTTATCTTTTTTAAAAAGCCTGCAAAAAAAATTTAGGAACAGTTTTTCAACCTAAAGACTGGTATAAATTAAATTTAAGTTTCATTAAAATAACTCTCTCTTTTCTCCCCTTCTCCTTTTTCTTCTGTAACATTGTTTCAACTTTCTTTTTAAAATTTCCTTTCCCTTGTTTGGATTTCTCTTCCTTTCTCCCAGCTTTGGCATTTGCTTTCCTTTTGTTCTTTCCCCGTCAATTTTTGCTCTTTGCTGACCCCCTGGCCATGTTGTTGGCTCCAGGATCCTCAATGTGGAGTGGGAGGCTAGGCGAGGAGCCTCCAGAGCTGAGAGCAGAGCTGCACTCGGCCGGGCCCACCTGGAAGGAAGGGCTGCTGGCTCTCTCCCTGACTTCGATTTCTTCTCGGAACCCCTCTTTGTTTTTAGAGCATCTCCCAGGCAGAGGCTGGGAAAGATGACCATCGCGTCCTGACAACCTCAGATTCGCAATGTGAAGTGAAGGCGAAGCCCAGGGAAGTGGGGTGGGAAAGAAAGGAAGAGGAAGGAAATATTTCAAACCAGCCCACAAGAAGCCTCGGCTGGGCTGGAAGGGCCTGGAGATGCTGAGAGATGAGGGTCAGAAGGGGGCACCCCACCCCCATGCTCGTCTGCCCAATTGTCCTGATACTGAGGCTGACCACTCTTGGAGTCTCCTGGACCCCACAACTCTTGAGTTTGAGAAAGATAAAGATGTGGGGAGAAAAGAGAGGGAGGCAATCAGAGGAAGAGAGGGAGAGAGAAAAGAGAAAACACAACAAAACAACACCCTGAAAACTGCCTGCTAATTTTCCCCCAGCACAGGGCAAGATGCTGACTAGGGAGAGAGCTGCTGGAACCAGGACTCCGGAGCTGTGGATCCCATGACCTAAGAAGGAGCGGATGGAAGGAGCAAAGGCAAGTGATAGGCACAAGGGAAGGTAGGAAAACAGGCAGGCAGAGAGGTAAGTATGGGTGACAGACGGCAGGAAAAGAAGCTGGAGGCATTAGAAACACCAGGTAAGGTAAAGAGGAAGAACGAAAGGAGGGACCAGGAGAAGCCAGGGTGGCTCCAAGATGGGACCTGAGTGCGGGGGGCCGGGGCCACGCTGGAACTGGACCAGGTTGGGAAGGACAACCCCGAACGAGGACAGGAGCCGGGCGCCGGTACTCACGGTGCATCGCGGAGAAGGGGTCTGCTTTGCAGTGCATATCCATGGGGAGGCAGAGGAGCGGGAGCAGCGCGGCCGCCGCCGCCGTGTCGCCTCGCAAACTCAACTTCAGGACTTGAGGAGAAAAGGGAGGGATGGTGGGGGAGGGAGGGTGAGTGAGCGCCCAGCTGCTGCGAGGCGCGCGGGGGCGAGGGGCGCAGTGCTGCGCTCCCCGTGGGGGTTCCTCCGGGCTGGCCGGAGCTTCCAACTGCAGTAGCCGCAACTTGCCACCGTTGGGACTCGGGGCCGGGCGGTCAGCAGAGTGGCCCCGGGGCGGTGGGCCGGGCCGGGGGGCACTGGGGGCGCATGGCTCCTGCGGCGGCTGCAGCCAGGGCTGAAGCCGGGCAGGGGAGGCGACTCGCTCAGCTCCCCTGGAACCCGGTCATCCAAGAGGCGGTTGTCCGAGAGCGAGCGGGGCGGGGGTGGCCCGAGGGCACCGGAAGGGAAGCCGGGCCTCTCCAAGTGCTGGCGAGTTGGCGAAGTTGGCAGAGAAGTAGCAATCCCGGGGATGTCCGAGCGGGCGCCTACGAGAGGGGAGCGCGCGGGCCGGGCCCCCGCCCCCAGAAAAGGCTGGCGCAAGGTGCCTCCGCCGAAGGGCCGGGAGGGAGGGAGGGAGGGAGGGAGCCTAGCTGCGTTGGCAGCCCAGGGCTGGCCCCAGGTGGGTTGCGGCTGCGAGAAGACTCGGCCGGAGACTGGAGCCTGGGCTCCCGGTGTGTGTCTCTCTAAAAGCTGCAAAGCCCCCTCCAGACCCCCTCCGCCTCCCCGCGCCGGGAGATGGATGACTTGTCAGACAAAGGCAATAGATTCCACCACTCTGTGATTCGCCAGCGCCGGAGCCCCGAGCTTCGGCGAGGAGGGCCCCGCGCCTGTCACTCCGGTGCCCGCAAGGGGAGGGCAGAGGAGGGGGAAATGGGAGGGAGGGAAGGAGGGAGCACCGGGCGTATGAAGAGGGAGGGAGGGGAGCGGGCCGGGGGAGGGGGAATGGGAGCCCAGGATTAAAACTAGACTGAGAAACGAAACTCGCTGATAAGATAAACGTTAGATAAGGATAAAGAGCGGCCAGTCTAATGAATATTCAGGTAACGACAGAGGGCCTCGGAGCGCGCTGCGCTCTGAAGCCAGGCTCTCAGTTCTAACTCGCCCAGCCCTGCAATCCACCGGCCAGTGCCCGCCTGGGCCGCGCGGCCCCGGGCCCAGTCCGCATTCCTAGCCCCAATCCCACCATTCTCGACTCTGAGTTCCCTTCCGTTCGTTCCTTCCCGGCTCTTCCTCCCTCTCTTTCTGGTTGTTCCCTTTCGCCTTTCCCTCTGGAGGTATCTTCCCACCCACGCACCTCCCCCACTTCTCATTCCACGGAAAAGTGTCCAGCAGTTTGTCTTGTCCTCTCTCTCCCGTCCCACGCGCGACTGCGCGTAGGGCCTCCCCAGTCCCCTTGCCCACCAGGTCTGGGCAGTCCAGACGCTTGGTTTAGAATCTAGCTGGAGATCTCCGGCGAGTACCCACCTGCCTGGGTGGGACCCGGCGGAAGGTGGGAGAGCAGGGGGACTTGGTTCCTGAACCCTCGGGTGGCTGGGGAGGAGGCCAGGGGAGGGAGACAGTGCGGAGCGGCAGGTCGCTGGCGGCAGAGGATGCGGGAGACGAGGCTGGCTCTCCCCGGCTGGGGAGAAGAGGACGCTGCGCAGGCGACTGAGCGCCGCCAGCTGCTAGCTTGGCGGATCCGGAGCGAGCTCAGGAGGCGCAGCGCGGGGCCGGCCCCACTCCTGCCGGAGCCTCTGCAGCTCTTGCCGGCACTCGCTCCCTCGCTCGCTGGGGTCCGCTCGCACGCACCAGGCAGGAGAAGCCCTTTGTCTCCCAACTGGTTAAGTACAGAATATCCGGGAGATCTTTATGAAATATTTTCCTTCGTCTAATAAATCATCTTGGCACTTCAGCTGATGTTTTAACTCTCTCTCCCTCCTTCGCTTCCTCCCTCCTCCCCGCTTCCCTGGGTCTTTGAAAGGGCGGCTAGGCGAAGCTTGTGCCGCGCTCCTGCCGCCGGGAATTGAGGTTCCTCCAGCCCCTGTCTGCAGTTCCGGGAGCCCCGCAGAGGCACCGCGGACTCGCGCTCCCCTCTCTCTCCCTCTGGCCGGAGCCCGGGCGGCAGATTGGATGGGGAGAGGTGCACCTACCTGACTCAGCCTGACTACTACTACCCAGGTTTTCGGGACGCCCTTATTCCTCACTCAGGAGGAGCTCAGGCCAGGCTCAGTAGGACGGGGTTCTGAGCCTCTCACTCCTAGGGGGCCTGGGTCCACCGGGATCCTGGTATTTGCCCTCCCTCTTGTATCCTCCAGAGCCCGATAAACTTAATCCACCTGCGGAGGAAAAAACTCCTCCCCGCCTGCCCCTCCCAGCCCACCACCCTACTTCCCTTGGGTGGCTAGGCAGGTTGGTTCCCGTGGGCTAGAGGTTGAAGGCGAAGGGCCCAGCCCCTAAGGTCAGGCTCTTCCTCTCGAGGCCTGCAGATGGCGCTCCCGGGTTTGCTTTGGCCTCACAATCCCACGAAAACGCACTAGCTTCGCGTAGGGAGCGAAGAAGGAAAACAGTCTGGGCAGCCTAAAGGGAACAGCTTCCAGGCTAGAGAGCAAGAGAGCTCAGGTAGTATTAGCTAGCACAGCCTTGGCTTTCCTTCTGGGAAGTAATTAACCCAAAATTGGGGTGAAAGGAAGGCTGAGAAAGGGTCTTTAATTAGAGGCGTTCGGAACTAAAGTAACCCTTGCCCCAGGTCTCTTCATGCTGGTCATCCAGGAATTTGTCTCCGGGCATCTGAACTATTGGAGACTGTGAGTAGAACCACCCCCGTTCCACACAGACACAGATCTTTCTAGAACCACTAGACAGATCCCTATGTCACAAGTACCGAAATGTGGGTGCCCACAACCATTTTCACATGTTGGGCCAGAAGGATTTTCCATTTTGTAGAGAAGGGGACTTCATGCACCAGGCATGCTGGAAGTTGTTCCCACACACCTGTCCTTCACCTGCACCCTCTGAGGAGTCAAGACCCTTCCAGTAGTCTGAGTCCTAGGTAGACCCTGCTAGCCCAGGCGCCCTCCTGCTCCTGGGACCCTCTCTCCAGCACTGCACTAGCTGGACACTCACTCTCCCCCCAGGCCGGCTTCTGGCCCCTTCCTCCTTAGCTCCAGCCCATTCCTGGGTCTAGAAAGTCAACGACCAATGCTCCCTAGTGATTAAGAACCCCTTTTCGCCGAAGCTCTGCTTTCTAGGGCTCCAGGAGGAAGAACTGGCCTTCATTCAGTCACTGGCCGCTCCTCTGATTCCCCCTCTTCTATTCTCTTTCTTCTGTAGAGTCTAGAAGAGGGGTGTGTGAGGGGGAGCAAGAAAGGAAAAAAGGGAAGAAAGAAGAGGAAAGGGGAAAAGAAAAAGAAAGAAAGAAAACAACCCAACCCCAAACACTACCCGGGCTCCGACCTGTCAGGGTTGGTTGCTTTTCCCGTCTGCCTCTAAATGAACCTTTTCTCTCTGGTGTTTTCAAAGCAGCCCTTCCACCCCCCAACCTAGGGGCATTTACACTTCAAACAAGGCGCCCGCCTCCCTGCGGAAATTTAAAGGCAAATAAACTTTTGGGGAGTTGCTCTGATACCCATCTCGGGATTTGCTTCATTAGCCGCCTCTGTGCATCTGATCTGCCCAATAAATCTTCCTTGTGGATCTCGGCTCCTTTGCCTTCTCGGCTCCGTTCCCTGCCAGGCTTGCCCGGGCGCCTGGCGGCCCCCAGCCTTGCCTCCGCCCTGCAGGCCAAGCTACTGCCGGCCTGGCGGTCCCACCGGGCCGAACCCGCTCTGCCTTGGCATAGGTGTCGGGGCGGGGAATAAGCACCCCACACCTCGAATGTACCCACGCGCCGGCGCCCCAAGCCAAGCCAAGCGCAACTCCCGGGCTCTCAAATGCGTTTCTTGGCGTGTTGTGAAAAAGTAAAGTGCCGTTGTAGACCCAGTCCGCTGCCACTGGCTCCCGCGCCCTTCCAGAAACCCTTTCACCCATTTTCCGGTTTCCAGTTCCCTGGCCCCGGTGTTTTCTGCGGTGGCGAGAAAAGGCAGAGGCGTGGCTGCCTCCCCCACCCCTGCAGGGCCCTGACCTGGGGGCCCAGGCTCCTGGCCTCCAGCAGCTTGGGAAGGCGGCTGAGCCTGGGTGGGGCGGGCGGGCGGGGGCTGCAGGAGCATCCCAACCGCGCCCCTCCCCCGTGGCCGGGACCTGCCTTCCTTCTTCCACTTCCTGGGGAGCGGCTAGGGGAGCTAGGGATTTAGAAATTCCGAAATTAAATGCATCTCCCCAGGAAATGCTCCCCACAGAGCGGACCAAATTAAACGCATTGAAGTTGGGGGGGGGGAAGCTGTTTAGAACCAAGGGGGGAAAACTAGTCCGAAGGGAAGAGAAGCAGAAAGGAAGCAGGGGAGAGAGGGAGAGCAGAGCTGCAGCTTCGCAGCCGAGCTTCATTTCTGGATTATTCCCACTTTTGAAAGTCAGTACAAAAAAGGAAAAAAAGTTCTGACAACCGAACTCCAGGGTCAACCACCGAGGCTCACTTGCCCTCGTCCCAGTGCACCCCAGGGCGCAACCCTTGGCGGTCAGATCTCAGGCAGCCGAAGCTCACACTCCGGCCTCCTCTGCAGAGAGGCCTGACCGGCTCCTGCCCGGCCCTTTCCCCCTCCTCTTCCCCATTCTCTCCCCGCCCCTCCCCCCTGGCCCTCTGGTCACGTTGGAGGATTTTTTTTTTTTTTTTTTTTTTTGGAAGAGCTTCTGGTACAATATGGAGCACCATGGGCTGCAATTTCACACTCCACAGCACATTCCCCCTAAAGCTACTTTCTTTCTTTCTTTTTTTTTTTTCATCTAAGACCCCCTAATTTCTGCTTCCTTGCTCCCTCCCTCCCTCCGGCTCTCACTCTTCTTTTCCTGCTTTTGTTCCCAATATTTGGGCTCCCTGCGTGAAGCCCAGGGGGCCTGACTCCCAGCTGGCCCCGCCCACTGGGTCTGTTGGTCCTGTGGAGTCCAGGCACACTTGCTGGGCCTTTATCCTCCAGGACTCCTCCCCCTTTAATCTACTTCCCCTCACAAGGGGTCCTCAAGACCTGCCCCGCCCTTCACAGGCCCTTTGAGGCCCTTCACAGGCCCTTTGAGGAGCAATGACAATGCAAGCCACTTGGCCACCAAAGCTGCCTCTTAGTGGCACGGGCCAGCCAGGTGGCTGCTGTCCATGGGCCACTCTACTGGGAGGCTGAAAAAGTAGTGAAGCTGGGAGAAACCTGGCCAGCAAGTCTAGAGAGTAAGAGTGAAGGTCCTGTCCAACAGAGAACAAGCTTCAAGGGCTAGGAGCCCAGTGAGGCCCTGATACTCCTGGCTCAGAACTCCACACAGCCTTTACCCCCTCCCTACGTACCCATGGACCTCTGCACAGCTAGAGGGACCACTCACCCCACAGTCTTCAGGAAAAAGTGACAGCCACTACATACATAGTCCCTTTGCTTCTTTGAGCCTCAGTTTTCTCACCTACAAAATGGGGGTGATCACACCGGTCTTGACTACTCCATGAAGCTCATCAATAGGGATTTTCTACCCAGACATCTCTCTAGTAGAGGATGGAGTAAACGCCCAGCTTTCTGAACTCTTACCCATCCACAAAGTGGTAAAGGAGGGATCTGAGTGCTTAGGGCAGGAGGTGGTGTTTTCCACGCGACTTCAGTCCTATAAAGATTACTGGGAATTCCTCAACGCACCGCCTTCCTGTTCTGTTTGG